CGTACACATGCATGCACGTCGTCATATTAGCGAAATATTCTCAAGCACGACGTTAAACCCAAATTCACCTCACCTCACTTATATTAGGATATGGTGGTCTCGCAGACGACGGCTTCTTTATGCATTTAATTTGCAGTTAGTTGTCAGTTCAGCTGCCTCTTGTCTTTCTGTTTCAGTGAGTGAGTGATTGAGTTTAGTTTTACGCCGCACTCAGCAATATTCCAACTATATGGCGGCGGTCAGTAAATAATCGAGTCTAGACCAGACAATCCAGTGATTAACATCATCAGCATCGATCTGCGCGATTGGGAACCGATGACATGTGTCAACCAAGTCAGCGAGCCTGACCACCCGATCCCGTTAGTCGCCTCTTACGACAAGCATGGGTTACTGAAGATACATTCTAACCCGGACCTTCACGGGTCCCTTTGAGCTTCATGTACAGTTCAGTGTCACAGTTTGGTCAGAATCAAAGGTTAGTTATTATACATTATAATTGTTACATACATAGTAAATTAAACCCTAATATTAATCATTACATAAAATATACCCATGATAACAAAATAAAAGTCAATACACAATATACCATTTAACGTGTATGAATGTGCTTATGTTTGTTTTCTATATGTCCAGTCAATATGCTGCCTAGTAGTTCTTGTTTGGTAACTATTTTCTGTATCATGTAAGATTGATGCATCTCATGTATCATGTATATTGTATGCACTTGACAAAGATTACTAGTGATCAGTGTGTGGTACTTATAAGGGATTATTGCATGCGTTGACTGTGCGGCTGCTGGATGTGCAGACACATTCTCGTGTCACCCACAGGGTAGGTTTCTTTGTACAGTATTTATTGTCTATTTCATTATTTTACCATGTATTATTATAAGTCTGTATACCAACACTCATTTTGTATATCACTGTAAACACGTGATCACGTAAGTCACCTGTGTTATATTGCATCGCGTAATACCTGTATATGATTGTTGATAGGCACATTTATGCACTATATTTATTATGATGACATGTTCATCAGATGTGATTTTATGTTATGTATATCGTGTATATTATTGTTATTACAGGGTGTCTTCTCCCACCACATGGAAATAAACAGATATCTCACTCATAACCCGTAGTCTGTGGTAAAATAACACACTGGAACTCCGCTATATCATGGCTGCCACAGGAACACAACTATTAGAAATACAAATGCATTTCTTTTTCTTGGAACTCGAAGACGAAAGAATAGTATAAAGCAGGATGTTTTGTAGTCAGGCGGGAGCAGAAGAAAATCTGTTGAAGTAGCGATTATGGTGTCGAGTAAAACATCAGACATGCTCATTTTAGCCGATTGCTACAAACTGGCCTGTTAGAATTTTGTTTGAATGAATATGCAAGCCGTATATGATATTTCATCATGGACAAACTCACTGGTCTGTGATTATTTCTATAACTGACGGTGTAGCTGCGAATTGATGCGGCTTTAAGCAATAAGCAATATTCTATCACTCACTGACGTTAATATATTTTCCAGCTTCCGGACACTTTTAGGTTTTCACTTTTATTGGACATTCATATTCACAATTTCGTTTGTTAAATTATATTTAACATGTTGAGGATTTTTAAGTACATAGGAAATTGTAACAACAGGAGCGGACTTATATACACTACCCTACACTTCGTGTATGTACATTACATAGCATTTTCAAGCAATGTCATAATTTTGCTAAATGCTACTTGGGAAATGAAAAGCATGAAAGAAGCATGACCACAGCACTACTAAGATGCGCATGCGCCTTGACCTTATGATATTACGCATGCACAACGACAGCGTCGAAACGTCGCATTCTCGCGTTCTCGCGATTTCGTGTTTTTGTGGCCTTATTTGACAAGTCGAGAATGCGAGATTGCGAGTTTTGACAGCATCTACAAATGTCGCATTCTCGCGTTGTCGACTTTTGACAAAAAGTGCTATGTACCAAAAACACGAGAATGCGAGATCGCGAGATTTTGGCCAAATCTCGCGTTCTCGCGATCTCCGGCGCATTCTCGCACTTTTGGCATTTTTAGCTTGTTTCCAAAGGTCGAGATCGCGAGAATGCGAGATCGCGAGAGTGTCCCTTACAGTATTCCATACGAAAGAGAACGTGCACTAGGCATGATTCAGGTTGGCACCAGCAGCAGGAATATTGCTCGACAACTTGGACTTGACCACTTCACCATCGTTAGGCTTCATAGAAGACATCAGTAGAGAGGCAGCACCCGTGACCTTGGCAACAACGTGTTCCGACGCTCCATCAGGATCGCCATATTGACCTTGTCCATATCAGTGATTGAACACTGCCGACTGACAGGACTGCTGCACTAGTTCAAGGTTGACGTGGGGGTCAAGGTTCAAGGTTGACTCCATGCGACGCCGTCTACACGCTACAGGGCTCCATGCTCGACGTCCTTACGTTGGACCAATTCTGACTGACAGACACCGTAATGAGCGTATACAATGGGCTAGCAGGCAATTTCAGTAAAGTTTACAACAATGGCATGGTGTGGTAGTCACTGACGAGTCACGTCTTCATCTACGCAATGCTGACGGCCGATTACGTGTTTGGCGTAGACGTGGTGAACGTTATGCTGATGAGTGTGTGGTTCAGACAGACCTTTGGGTAGTGGAAGTGTCATGGTCTGGGGTGGAATAAATTACAATCACAGGACTGCCTTCATGTCTGTCAAGAGTTAATGTCCTTTATTACCGTGAGCAGATTCTTCAGAATCACATCGTATCTGTCTTCAATCACCATCAAGATGTCCATACTATTCAACAGGACAACGCACGGGCACACACAACAAGACTTTCCATGCAGTATCTGGCCCAGCAACACATCCAGGTTATTCATTGGCCAGCACAGTCGCCACATGTATCCCCCCATGGAGTACTTGTGGGACGAACTTGGTCAAAGTCTTTCGCGGCGACAACAGATGCGACACATCCGGGAACTTGAGGCTGCACTACTGCAAAAGTGGAATGCCATCCTCAAGAACTCTATTCGGACGCTTATTGACTCAATGAGGAGACGTTGAACTGCATGTGTCAATGCAAATGGCGGTCACACGCCATATTGAAGTTTCGATTTGACCCCACGTGTTGTGGAACATTTCAATGAATGAGCGTCTTTTCTGTGTTGTTGTTTTTGTCACTCGTCCATCTGTTATTATCCACTCAAAAAAATATCAATTCCTTACACGTGCTTTTAATAATCTGAACCTTTAAAAGTGGTGCGTTTTCAATGATGTTCAGTATATATTCCTTTCCTTTTGCAAAAACACATGGAGACAGAACATTCGTTGACTATATCGAAATATCAGTTATAGAAACTTTTGCATAAATTACGGTTTCGTTACGAAAGGTAACTGATGAAAAAAGGCTGGTGCTATGTGAAAGAGCTTACATCGTGCGATTACGCAACACATTACACACTATCAGACAAAACGTCAAGAAGGAATCGAACCAGTGTTTTTGCATGAAACATGGGTGAAAGCCAGCCACACTGCAAGCACAAAATGGGTAGATAGGTCCTCTACAGAACCATGTAACAGGACATGGCCATTGGGCAAGGGTGAGTGACTCATTGTGTTACACGCAGGTAGTTAAAGTGTGGGTTTTCTGCCAGATTGTTCACTCGTGTTCAACGCGAAATCCAAAGACAAAAGACATTATTACACTCACATGAATGGTGAGGTTATCCTAAATTGGGTGAAAAACAGCTTGTACCAGCACTTCCTCTGGAAAGCTTAATTGTTGCGGACAACGCACCATGTCATAGTGTACAGGTCCAGATGCAAAAGCTCCAACATCCAACAACAGGAAAATTAATACGGTAGCAACAATACCACGTTCAAACTTTCGGACGTTCAAAACGAAGTACACAAAGCAATAAGTAAAATAACACCAGCAATCTGGCAAGAAATTATGTACATAAAGTTGAAAATGAAATAGAGATTCAGTACTGACTAAAAAGTGGTTTAGATTATGACACCATTCAACCAGTCATCATAAGTGTACAATCTGAGAGAAGTGAAAGTGAATCAGGAATTTCTTCAGATTCCAGTCCGGAAGAGTTTTGATACAACCCCTAAATGTCGACATTCTAAGCTGCACCTGCTTCCCGCCCTTGAGGCTGTTCCTCTAACAGTACTACTGATACTTTACCCTCGTAAAACGTCACACAGAAAATCAAAACAAAATGATGATAGTTTGTTAAGTAACTTTTTTATTTTGGAGACAAACACTATGAAAGTGTTTTTTTTCCAGAGTTGGTCTGATGTTGTCATTACGTTCTGTGTTGAAATGAATGTTTGATCATGAACCGATTGGGAGTTAGGTTGTGACTCATTTTATTGGCATCCTTTTGACCAAAACAGACTATAGTCCATACAAATATTCACTTAAACGTGTCGAGTCCCAGCTAATGCTGATTGCTAGTTGATTAAACTCATGATTACAGCAAAAAAATAACAGAATCAAGGTTAACAAAGAGTGCCCAATTCAAGGACTTTAAACAACATGTATTAAATGTAAAGGCACTTTCAATTCCGAAATGAGGTAATATATCTGGAATATTGCTGAGTGCGGCGTTAAACAACAAACCAAACAACCAACTTTCAATTGTAGTTGGTTGATGACTTCAATGTGGCCAAATCACGCGAGACGGGACGAGACAGCTGCCCAGCGATCTTGTGGTGATGCTCTCATTGTTGGTGTGCCACGGTACCCCGACGGCGAGTGACGTCATCATGATGTCAGTCACTTGGTTGTCGCGATCTTCAGTAACCTATGCTTGTCGTGAGAGGCGACTAACGGGATCGGGTGGTCAGGCTCGCTGACTAGGTTTGACACATGCCATCGTATCCCAGTTGCGTAGATCGATTCTCATGCTGTTGACCACTGGATTGTCTGGTCAAGACTCTTCGGTTAGACCACTGAAACCCATGTTTACTTACCTCAAAATGAATCCACTTGTAGATATTGCTGCTTAAATCAACTTTGTCGAAAGCCTCAAACGTTAGTTCCGGCAGATCCCTGTAAGGTAGATGATAGGTATTCATGTCTGTGTCAACAACGTCAACTATCTCGCCATCGAAATAAACTGACACTCATTTACTCGATACTCGCAATGTTAATCAAGTGACGGAAGCACCTTGAAAATCGTTGATTTTCTTATGGGATACACCGTATACAAACTTCCGGTATGTCAGTTTGTTTAGTCGAAAGCATTGGTCTTTGAGTGAGTAAGTGAGTTTAGTTTTAGCAATATTCCACAAAATCACGGCAGGAGACACCAGAAATGGGCTTCACACATTGTACCCATGTGGGGAATCGAACCCAGGTCTTCGGGGTGACGAGCGAACGCTTTAACCACTAGGCTACCAAGCCGCTACCCATGTGTCTTTGAGTCTGATTAGGCCTTGTAATGAAGTACATATAAACACAAGGGCTAAGATGATGATCTACACATGTGTCTTTGAGTCTGATTAGGCCTTGTAATAAAGTACATATAAACACAAGGGCTAAGATGATGATCTACACATGTGTCTTTGAGTCTGATTAGGCCTTGTAATGAAGTACATATAAACACAAGGGCTAAGATGATGATCTACACGTGTCTTTGAGTCTGATTAGGCCTTGTAATAAAGTACATATAAACACAAGGGCTAAGATGATGATCTACACATGTGTCTTTGAGTCTGATTAGGCCTTGTAATGAAGTACATATAAACACAAGGGCTAAGATGATGATCTACACATGTGTCTTTGAGTCTGATTAGGCCTTGTAATGAAGTACATATAAACACAAGGGCTAAGATGATGATCATGAAGAGGCAAACATCCCTGACAGACCTCACTTGATGTATACCATCACCTTCAGTTCGGTAAATTGTGCTTGTTGGACAATAAACGCACCGTATTTCTCAAATAAATAATAACAGTTCACCAGATAAATATTTGCATTATTTTAACAGAGAAACTAGTAAATATATAGTTAGATCCCACCAAAGACACTCAGGCAACAAATCCTCACGAAACCTGTCAATCTGTAGCAATATGTGTCGAGAACCATACAGCTAAATGATTCTACTAGCGTCTCAAGGATTTTGGAGAAGAGGTGCACATAACTCAAGTCCAAAGGTTAGGGGGAAATGCTCCTCGGGATTTTGTTTCGGTGGATATGGGAGAGTGGCGCGCCAGCGCACAGACACACACAGACACAGAGACAGACACACACCTACCTCTCAAACCTTCTCTGAATCCCCCTGCGTCTACAACAAACTACCTTGAACGTTACCCCTACCTTTCTCAAAATCTACATTATCAGTATTCCCAGAGGAATAGAACCCGCAGCGCTTCCAAAGATGGGACACAGCGGAATTGCGACCTTGTCACGCCAAGGGAGCGGCGTTATTTCTCGACACATATCGATTCTATCATCCGCAACACAATGGCAACACACATTGAAATAGTAAAACAAATGGCTCCCAAATTCGAGGTCATGGTGACGATTGATATGTAAGGCCCTGTCAAGGCTGGATTGCCAACGACTTTTTCGAGTCCTTGTACAAAGGTTACTGCACTGAGAAACTGAACATGCTCACCGATATTGTATATCGCCATGCACATGGCCCTGGATACACTGTCTCCTACCTTTCGGTGTTTACCATGGTCCTTGAGCCGGTTGCTTCACTGCTGATGATTGACGTTACCGGGCTGCGTCCTACCTCCGACGTTACACAGTGGTCGATGTTGACACCCTGTTTCTCGAAGTCGGAGCGTAGGAATCTGAGAGAAATGGATATGGAACACCATTATAGGTTTAGGTATACTGAAACCTCTCGAGCTTCGTAAAGTAAAAGTCAGCGACTGGCTCACGGATTGCATGGATTTCAAACCTGCTGGTGTGATCCGAGTACTGAATCCACATCACCCGTCAAAGTGAGTGAGTGAGTTTAGTTTTACGCCGTACTCAGTAATATTCCAGCCATATGGCGGCGGTCTGTAAATAATCGAGTCTGGACCAGACAATCTAGTGATCAACAACATCACCATCGATCTGCGCAACTGGGAACCGATGACATGTGTCAGCCAAGTCAGCGAGCCTGCACCGGTCAAAGAGTGAGTGAGTGAGTTGGTGGGTGAGTGAGTATGGGTTTATGCCGCTTTTACCGTATTTCAACGACGTGACGAGCTAACACATACACCACTAGGCTCTCATCAAATCGTAAATCAATGACACTGCTCGTTCAGGCAACCTACAAAGAAAATACTGCTGAAACAATGGAAAAAACACATCCTAGTGTCTGTGCGTGCGTGCGTGCGTGCGTGCGTGCGTGAAACATGTTTGAAACGTTTCAGAGCAATGATCTTATTTCAGCAACCAAAGGACAACGGATAACTCGACACTGTTTCGATTGTCTGAATTTCTCATGGCTTAAGTAGAAATTATGTAGTGTAGTATTTTTCAAAAGGTTTATTTCATAACCATAAGAAATCTCTGTTCAAAGCAGAGTCGACTGGACGATTTTCAAATATAGCATGAACATCTGCCTCTGGATCCAACCTGCTGCTCGCGAACAGATGTTCATATACTGCCCACTGGTAGCACCCTTCACAAATACGGCAAAGGCAAGTCACTTGTTCACCAGGCATAAAACAAGGACATGTTTTAACTCACACATTATTAAGACATATCGCCAGACATGCCTCGTCGTCATACCTCGCTTCATAGTCGTCTGCGAACACCCCAAGATATTCCGCCTGCAGTCCCAGAATTAGGATGACAGTAGCACTGTTAGACGCGTTACCTCCTCGCCGCCAGTAATAGTCTGTGCACCTGAAATGTACACATTCCAAATAGCGACACAAAGGTTATCCACTACTTTCAGTTGTTGTTGCAGTCATTAATAACCAGTGACTACACAATACCATTTAGAAAGAGGTCAAGTGTAACATGATATATTTGGGATTACACTTTCTCAGTAATTGCGCAGATCGATGCTCATGATGTTGATCACTGGATTGTCTGGTCCAAACTCGATTATTTACAGACCGCCGCCATATGGCTGGAATATTGCTGAGTGGGGCGTAAAACTCAACTCACCAACTTTCTCAGTAAAGTACCGATTCTAGTACGTTTGTTAGGTAAAGTCCCATCCGGGATTCGAACCCACACTCTCAGAGTCAGGCACCTAATCGACATGGGGGATCGAACCCCCAAATGGGTATAATCTATTTCTGGTGCCCCGTGCTTTGATATTGCTGGAATATTACTAAAAGCGGCTTAAAGTCCACCACACTCATTCGAATAAGATCATGTCTACTGATAATTATACACCAGAACTTAATTAAGCACCCCTGCACTTTTTGCAATGATAGGTTTTCAACACGTACATAAAACTTCTCGTGGTGACCACGATGGAAAACATGACCTTTTCCGACCCGCATGATCCGTAGACTCATAACAAACGACAAAATGATTGGAATCCATGTTGGTTTTATGATGATAATTGCTCAATTTAAAGAAACACTGATTTTTCATACAAAACCATGTCTGTACAAGTGGCCCTGGAATGTTTAATGTTGAATTTATTGGTGAGTGTGAACATTCAAAATGTCATTTTGCGTGTCTTACACGATTCAAGGCCAATTCGGGTGTAAGTCCCCATGTGACTGTATGACAGCCCGCACCCTCCTCGTCCCCTGTCAGTCTCCTGATCCTCTGAATGGGCAGTCTACGCCATTCCTCTCGTGTAATGCAGCTTCCAATTGGACCAGGTTCTGTACAGGAGGATCCTTTTGCTGCACATGACGACCAGTCATGTCCCAGATATGATCAAAAGGGTTACAATTGGGGCTCATTCAATGGTGAGATATGTTAGGGGTGCTTTACTAAGTCCCTTTGTGTATATATATAGTTTGTTTTGTTGTTATTTGTTTTGGTCATAATGCGCATGTTGTCTAAATGGACCAGACACTGGCGCACATACATCAATGCTCATACTATCGTACACCTTTACCTGCACACACTTCTACCCAACATACATACACACCTCACCAAACCATACACATACCTAGTACATATAACACAACCCACACACATGCACCTTGACCTCTTGCCACCTTGGCACAAGAGTCGAGGTCGCAATCAGGGTGACATCTAGCCAAATAGATCACTTCTATTGCGAAGAATAGCTATCTTCATCACACTCCTTAACAACGACATGTGTCCTTGAGGAAGAAGGGAAGAAGAAATGACCTTGTGCTGAATAGGTACAAATCTTACCCTGTAAAGTAGCTGTTGAAAACTGTCAAAATAAAATCACCACTGCAACTGTTATCTGTTGGCAATGGTAACTAATAACTACACGCGCTTAACCAGTTATCATGGTTATTTCTAGCTGTTAAGTTCCCACATGGGCACAATGTGTGAAGCCCACTTCTTGTGTCCCCCGACGTGATATTGCTGGAATATTGCCAAAAGCGGCGTGAAAATATAAAAACTCACTTTAGCTTTTCACAAGAAAATACTTTATGCAACTTCTTCACAGCGTCAATGTTGGACAATGAGCGATGCAGGATTTCCAGGTTAAATAGAACGCCATTTCTTCCAATTATCACTACTGCTGTTATAACACAAATGCACAATAAATGTATATAAAGTCCACATACCTGTACATGTTTTTAGACATAGTAGAAAGGGGCTG